TTCTCCCTCGCGTCCGCCTGATCAATCAGGTCTTGCGACACTGTGGGATAAGTCAGCTCCTTCACTGGAGTTTGTGGACTGCTCATTAGAGCTTCCACTCGCTTGGCAGCACTCCATGGATTCGTTTCCTCTGCAGCCATGACCCCGGTTACAATCCCAGGATCCACCACCGCTGTTCCCCACTGAGGCACCATTCCCGTAGGTGGCACTCCAGCACACATGGATTGCTGGGACATCCCAGCTACTTGCGAACCCTGTGTTCCACCAGTTGCGGCATACACCACAGGTGCTCCCGCTGGCTGGTAGATCACAAGTGAGCCTGTTGGTGCCGCTGGCACCGATTGTTTGACGCGTGCATCTTCAGGAGATTCAACAGGTGAACGTCCCGGTCGCTCCAAAAGAGCAACGTTTTCCACCAGCCGCACCTCCACCCACTTCAGTTGAGCTTTGGTGTTTTCCACCCTGTCCTTCTTCTCGATTACCCACAACAGGTGGTTCACGAAATCCCTCAGACATCCGGGCAACTACTGGTGTTTGTGTCATAGGCACTCCCGAAAGAGTTAGACTATTCACACCTGGGGTCAAACCAGACAACAGACCGCCATTCCCATTTCCTCGTACCACTTCAAGTCCAGGAGGTTCTTCAGGTGGTAATGACACTGGTCTTGCGACTTCTTCCGCAACAGCCGGATTCTGGGCGATTCGTTCGCCCGCTCCAGCCCGGACCGCCGCAACCTGCACTAGGGCTCCACTTCCCCCAGCACCGGTCAGTGCCATCACACTTTCTCCAACTTCCCTTTCCATCAGTGATCTTCGGGTTGAGTCTGATGATCTTGTCCCTGTTCTTTCCCCATGTGCTTGTCCAGGTGTGTCCATCTCCTCCAGAAGCCGATCCAGCATTTGGTCTGCCGTTTCCGCGCGTTCTTCTTTTCCATGTCCATGGGTCCCATGTTGTTCTTCTTCAGCATGAGCAGCCGCCTGAACTCGATGTTCTTGTCGACGACGCTGAGTGAATTCGCTGCTCGACATGGCTTCAGGGCAGCGTTGGGGTTGGGCTCATAACCCACGGGTTTCTAAAGTCAGACCGAGACCCTTCCCGGAGGTCCCCACCAAGAGGCAGATGCCGCTGCACCTTTTCACTCCAAGTTGGGCTCGGTGATCTTGAGCCAGTTAGTTTGATTGGCCCTTGAGCCAATTGAATGGCTTGAGCCTTGAGCCAAATTGCAACAGTCGGAGGACGTCTCAACGACTGTGAAAAACTTAAAAAGACCTTAGTGGGGGTGCAGTGGTACTCTGTGCATGTTTCCCAACCGCAGTACCATTCTAGTCTGGGTTGCAAGTTTTATCTTATGGATCACTATATTATATATATTATATTATAATCTAATCAGATCCACCAGTGCCCCCGGCTATTCCGCATGACCTTGGTTCTGATTGTGTTTTCCCACACAAGTATATTTTATTATATTTTATTATTTTATTTTAATAGGATATAGTAATATATTATATATAAAATAATTATACAAAATTAAATATGGTCTATGATGTGTGTTTTTCATCAACACGCATGCACATTCGTGATTGCATACCACATTATTGGATTGATCTACTTGTAAAAAATATAATAATGATAATATAATATATATATATATTATAATATATATATTATATATATAATAATATATATATATATGATATATATTATAATATATATATATTATATATATATATATATTATAATATATATATATTTATATTATATTTATTGTTTTACATATATAATATTATATATATACCGGTATACCCTTACAAGTAGATCGATCTAATGATCATGCATGAGGCCCTTCCCAGAAAACCAACATCCACTGCCACCATCCGCTGCTCCCACACTGGGCATCCATAAGCCCACTCGTGAGGTGTGCCAACCTCAGGGCCGCGATCCAGAGCGATTTTCAGAAGCTGTGGCAGAACTTGGTGATTGCCCGGGATGCATTACAAGATGCGATCGGCAAGCGGGAGGCTTCCCGACTGATTTTATACACGGGTGCATTTTACTAGTTGAGAATGTACTTCACATTTTTTTAACAGAAATTCTCATTCATCTTTACCATTTCCGAAGTTCAATTAGGGCCAGGCCATGGTACCAGTGGCAGAAATTATCCTGCCAGTATACCCATCTCGTCTAATAAGAATTATGATTATTAAATATTATCGTATATTATTTGATCAAAAATGATTTGGACACATTAGGGTTTCCAAACCGTGGTCATGGGCATCTTCGCACATGAGGTTTCTGACCTATCGAACTTAGAGAAGCAGTGTGACCAAGCCCTGGCTGACTACAAGGACTTTATCACCAGGGCCAATCTTAAATGATTTTGAGCCGGTCCCGCCAATCCTTTTTTGGTTTGGGATGTGTTATCAATATGGACCCCTGGTGTGCCAATCTGCGCTGTTAGTGTGCCTGATGGGCCCTGCTGCAGGGGGGAACAAGGTATCAAGGGGGTGGTATAGTCGTTCTTTTTAGCAAATAGTCTATCAATCACCCTTTGGTCGTGGTGGTAGTGAAAAGTTCTTTATTGATGTTAAAATGTTGCCATGTGAATTCAAATGACTTTTGGTGCGCACTCGAATCCTCCTGTACCTCACATGTTCCAGGGGAGCAGGCCTACTAGAATCAGTCAGCGCTTTTTGGGCACCATGTTGGAAATTTCATGCAAACATGGTCTGTAAAACCAAGACCGTGCAATCCATGTTATGTTGTTAGATCTCCTCAGAACTGTGTGATTTACACACGGATGCTATCAGCTGCTTGGGAACACCGGTATTTCAAAATGGCACCCTGGAAAAAACAAGTCGTTTTGCGCACCTTGTTTGTAGCAGTAGCTGGATCCATTTGTCATGTTGGGTTGTGACCCTTGCACAAAAGCATCAACAAATTACTTCCAGTGATCCCTGCTGTGACACTACTAGAACTGACATCGCCATGATCACTGTTGACTATGTACTTCGATGTACTTTGACGACCCCACGCAGGTGACAATGACTCTTCTACACGGTCTGCTGTCCTGGAGAATGCCATGAACGATGTTCATGGTGGTGTTACTTGGCTAAATTTGCCAATGCATATCACCCAGGGTATCACAGAATTTACGATATGCAAAAAAAACAATATGTTGGTAGTGATATGTTTATGTTTTTTATTTTTACATGTATGTAATTTGCATTTACTAGTATATTATCACATGCGTGTTAAACAAATATATGCCAATGCAAAACCAGTTTGGTATATATTCAATATAATGTATTATATATGCTACATGTATTGGTATATATTAATTAAATTATTTAATATAAATCAAATAGAGTTTATATCACATGTATTTGCATACAAATTGAAACGTTATATATTGTATATTCATGCATATGCATTATATAACAAACACATTATTATTATATTATATTATATAAATATTAAATTATATACAACATGTTCCTAATGTAAAACAGGCTTGTGTGAAACTGCATTTTCTTGTTTCATTATGTATTTGGCCTATTCTCCCTGGGTCTTTGGGTTTAGCGTGCCACCCAACTCCCTCGAGGGCGCGACTGTGGGCAAAGCGATGCGCGCAATGAGAGCTCATGTGTCAGATCCTCGGCCAATTTTCTGACCATTGGATGGGGGTTGTTGGATGGGGGTTTGATGGGGATTTGATCATTGAAATGAATCATTCATCCTTTGATGTTGTGGTTTTTGGAAACGTTTCTTTTTGGAAACTTTATTAATTTATCTTCTTTTGGGAACATACGTGGGATTCAAACCTGGAAACGGGACTATGGGTTGGAAAACATATTTTTGGTGACGATACTGAAAATATTTCTTCTGATCTACTTCTCAACTAGATAAAACAACACAAAACATCACAAAACCTAATAGGTTTCCAGGTAGGTTTCCATGGGCAAAGTACAATCCTAATTCTCAACCGACATAACTATGTAAACCTGGCTACCCAGTGCAGCTGTTACTGCAAAAATATTATATCCTAACAAACCCTCACCATTGAGTACTGGTCATGTGGTAATTCACGATGGTCCCCTCGGAATCTTGATCACAACCGTATGACGGCTTTTCATTAATTTATTATATATGAATGGATATGTCTTGGGTTTGGAAACTTTATCATGAAATATAAATTGGTAAAATTGACTATTTGATGCACCCATGTCGCTACAGAATACCCCTTGAATCCCTATAGAGTGTACAGTCACTTTCACAACCAAAAGCCACCCTGCACCACATACATGGATTAAGCTGTGTCTAAAACTTGTAGTCCAACTTTACAAAACACTGGAAAATAATTCAAAACATGCATGCATGCACGGCATGCATATGCATACATCGACATGCTTGTGCATAGCGCAAAATGGCACTGCCGCGTCATTATATATAATACATACTATTATATATATTTATTTATAATATAATATATATATATATTTATTATATTATGCATTCACGTTGATCGACATGATCTTGCGCTGGCTTAAACGCTTCTGGCTGAAAGCCACCCTTGAGTGGCCACAGTGACGGGATCTACAGGAGCAAAGAAAGCGCATGTGCAATCATGTGCATATGCGCGCGGGTAGCAGCAGCGCATGTGTATAGTTGTTGTTCGACTGGCTGATCCGATTGAACTGTTAAGAATGACTCACCAACCAGGGAAGTCATGATGTGTTTGGCTGCACTACTGCAAACATGTTTTTGGTGGCCCAGATTCGTCGAAAAAAAGTTTCACCCCCATGATCCTGAAGCATTTGCTCTCCATTGGGGAAACTTGTGTTCTTCACCTTTCAATGCGTGTAGCTGCCGTTACATGTGTATGCAAACCGATCTTTAGCACACTAGGGGTTGGTGCTATGCGTGTGGTCTTTGAGGTTGCTGGGTTTTTGACATGTTTCCATTCCTGGCTAAGGACTGCCGTGGAAACGTGATGCATCCGATGACGCGCCGGTTGGGATCTACGTGTGGCAAAAACAATTCTCGGGATTTTTGGAGAGCCTTGAAGGGAGGGCCGGTGGCTTGGTTGCCCAAGTTTTTTGTTCCCATTGAGGCAACCCAAATTTGCAATTTTTCTGGTTATTACAGAGTTTGGGAAACAGTTTTCAATACAACTCGTCGATCAACTTGGTGAGGCCATTGAAACCATTCGAATTCCGGTGCAGTACGAAGACTTGACTGATGGATTGATGAAACACCGCATTGAAGAGCGACCCATTCTGGACCCTCATTCAGTGATACATTTTCTTTTTGAAACTGCACAGCTCAAAATTCCTCCAGCACATGTCCAGCAGTATTGGAGGCATCATGCTGAATGTGGCGAAGAGTGGGCACAGGACCCTTCAACTCATCAAATGATTCCGCTCGGAATCTTTGGGGATTCGGCGAGGGTCAGCACGCAGTTTGGATCTGTGAACATCGTTGGGATATTCATGAGTATTGTCCTTTTTAGGCCACATTCAGTGCGGTGGTCAAGGTTTCTTTTGTTCAGCATCGGCGAACACGAGTTATGGAAGCATCACACGCTCAACACGGTGTATCGGCGACTGACGTTTAGTTTCAACTGTTTGTTTGAGGGTGTGCATCCGCGCTTTGATCAATATGGCCATCAGCTTCCACCTCACCTGGAGAAAAATGCGGGTAAACCCATCACCTCAGATAGGCAGTGCTTTTGTGTGACCGAAGTACGGGGTGACTGGTCATGGCACAAAAAAGTTTGGCGGTTTGAGAAAACATCGTGGACGGGAGTGAGGGTGTGCCATTGGTGCCCAGCCAAATCAAAGGGTGCATGGCCTGAGCTCTACTGGAATTTGACTGAGCAATCTTGCTGGCACAATGGGAACTTTACGTTGGGGGAGTTCATTGAGCAAAGGCTGCCCTCGATGGGAATTTGTAGCTTTGATCTCAAAGAAAGAAATGATTGCTTCAGTTCACTGGTTAATTCATAAACTTTGCAATTTGTTTTGTTTGTTTTTCGTGTTGGTCCCAAAACCCCTCCACTGGACTGCGTTGCATTTGTGCCCGCAGTTGAGGTCCACTTTTGGAGCTGAAGAACTTCAAGCCTTCATGCATCCGCTGGTGTTTAATGCATGTGGTCCACCTTGGGCTATTGTTCCGGGTGAATGGAAGTGCAGTGAATCTGGGAAGCATGTTCGTTCGAAAAAAGGTTCTGTTACTTTTTGGGTGGGATCGAAGCTACAAATCGCGTATATGTGCACGTATGCTATATGCATATTTATTATAAAGTACATATATTATATATAACGAACATAAATTAAATGATCTGCGCTGAGTCAGCAATTTCCACATGTCATAGTACATGGTTGAGGGTTTGTGGGGGAAGGTGTGGGTGTGTGTGCACTGTGTGTCTCTCTGCCTGACGGCTGGTGGGTATACTGATCGATACTTTGTTTGTATGTGCAACTTGCCCTCGTATTTTTGTTTTGCTGTTTGCAACTTGCAGGAATCTCTTGCTTCGTGCTGGAGTTTTTGGCGATCCTGAGAGTGAATCACGATCACTTCTTTTGGCCAGGGCATACCAGCAGTTCAAACGTTTCTGCAGAGACAAACGGATTCCTTGCTCACAAAGCCCATTCAAAGAAAACACTGTTCCTTGGGATTTTCAACCAGTTCATTTTTCTGATTTAGCCGTGTACTGTGAGTAAGTTTCTCAACTGAAACCACTTTTCTCAACTGAAACCAGTACTAAACTCAAGTGAAATAAACCTGCAACAATTAGGATTCTGATGTTGCTTTCTCATTGCTGTGCAGCTTACATGTTTGACGTTAATTTTTCTGAGGTTTACAAGAAGGATGGTGACATCTCTTTTACGCTGAAGGCCTACAATGGCCGATGTGTCCTTGCCTGGCTCTCTGATGCTGTTTACGAAGCAAGTCTCAACCCGATGCAAGCTGCTATTGATGAACGTTTTCATCTCATCACTTGCGCTTTGAAGCATGGCTGAACTTTGTCAGGCTGCTGTTCCAAATATATATATATACATGTAATTTCAAATAATTTCTCCAGATGATTTGCGCCAATGGTGTTGGATTCAAGGGTTGTATGAACAAGTTTAGTATTTCAAGCTTTAAACCTGAAAACATCATATGGCCTGCAGTGTGCATACCTCTAGACCAGCTATGTCTCTTGATTTGGGGTTAATTTAAGGGTGCATGTGCATGTGAAACAGACTGTGCATGTGCATGCTGAGGAGGCACCTGGCCAGATTTCTTGGTCTGGTCGAAGCACATGGACGATACTTGAATCTTGGTTGCAACAATGCTGGCCATGGAAAACCTAAGAGAGCTACAAATATCCAGAACCCAAAAGTGCCACAATCAAACTCTCAATGATGCATGATCTGGCTTCAGCTGATAGATGATAAGAACCATACTTTCTGAGTTCCAAGACACTATCACTAGCAACATGGGCCATTGGTATACCGGTATACCACTTACTCTGATCATTATACACATGTCCAGTCCAGTGTTCATTATTGTTTTCTTCAACGATCTCTGGAGTAAATGGCAAGCTGTGGGCAAATTCGACTCCATTGACAGACTTGCACCAGGGTTGGTCATATGGGTGGAGGCTTATGAATGATGATTCAAATATATCAGAAACGAGTAGGACCATGGCTTAGTCAGGGCAACCGTGATGATGATGGGATGTATGCCAAACCAAATCCTACCACGAAGATACGTGTGTGTATTTTTGTGCTTAGGTGTGACCCTTATAGCTTAGGGACTATAAAATACAAATAACACAAGTGCTTGTAATGATCGAAGGGTTTCCCACACTTCCGCACGTTTCAAATAAGATAGGGTGGTGGCCCACCTGAATTGGATTATCACAAAGCTGGTATGTGGATCATGTGGATCATTGTTCACCTAAAAGTTTTGTATCTTACTCAACATGTGTTCACCACATTGGTAAAATTTTGATCGATGCAGGTGCACGATGCTAGCAGTGGGTTGAAAATGAATACATACTAGTAGTGGGTTGCAAAAAAATGAAAATATCCTGGCAGTGGATTGAAAGTTATCTCGTCTAACCGGTAGTGTCGCAATCAACGTTAGTGCTGCTTTTTTTTGTGGCGGATAAGGTCTCGATCAGAAGCAGAGAACATCTTCTTTGAAGGCCGTAATTTTTTGGACCTGCACCTTCACCTTGCGAAGGTCAGTGTCAGGCCAGGTGGCTGTTGGAAAGAAACTGAAAATGAGTGGAACATGCTGCCAGTTTGGTTGATGTTTCTGTTTAACTTTTGATTTGCAGCCAATGGGTCTTTGTTCAACAGGATGGGGCTTAACGAATGGTTTCTTCGTCCCAAGTACCACGTTCCTCGGTTAGAAAAGCAACGCAATGTTCAAGCAAATTGTGGTTCAACCAATCCAATTTTCATCTCGGAGACATGCCTTTCTGGGAAGCCAAGATCCATCTTGGGAATCAATGAGACGCAACTGAGACTCCTATAGTGTGGACCGAGCCATGCAACCCTTCCAAAACTTTCATGTTCTGAGGCACTGTATCACTTACTTCTCCAGGTTCGCCGCGGACGCTGCTCGGTGCCATTTTATTTCATATATGCCATGGTGCACACGGTATATATATATATATATTATAGCATAATATATTTTATCATAGATAGAGCCAAGGGTGTGTGTGTTTGTGTGCACACATGCAATATCCACGAATGAATGCATGGATGAACGTAGAAAAGTCAGCAGCATAAACGTGTTAAAACATTTATGAAACACGCGGTACTTGACAAGCGACATGGCTGGCCGATCACCAAACCCCTGCCCACCAGTCTTCCTCCAGACCGTTCGGACTGAGGATCCAATCCACGCTTCTGGCATGGGTTCTTCGATGAGGACAGCATGGCGTGGCTCAAGCGTCCCTAGACTTAATTAATTCATGGGATTAATATATTATGGGATGGCGATGGAGATAGAGATATCATATGTGAATAAAGAATCCCCGTGGCAATTTCCACTCTAGAACTGGTGAACCTGTGCATAGTTTACACGAAATTCTTAATGTATTGGAATTTTTAAATTGATGTCAGGCTAGTCATTTTATTGTTGGGGGGTTGGGCTAAGCATTTTATTGTAAAGGTAAATCCTGATGATTTTTAACGTGTTAAAATTCCATTCTCATTTTATTGCAAAAAAATGTTTGCTTGGAGCATTTTATTGCAGAATGGAACCAATGCTTTTCCAGGATCTGTTTATATCGATTTTATTGTGCATGTCATTTTAGATCAGCGAATTTTAAAATTTGAAGGAATTCTGAGGAATTTTAAGGAACATTAAGGAATTTTAAAGGAATTATAAGGAATATTAAGGAATTTTAAAGGAATTATAAGGAAATTTAAGGAATTTAGAGAGTTTTAAGGATTTTTAAGGAATCTTAGAGGAATTTTAAGGAATTTAAAGGAATTTGACGGAATTTGCAGGAATTCGGAGGATTTTTAAGGATCTTTAATGTTTTCAAATTTAAAGGATATTTAAGGAATTTTAAGGAGTTTTTTTGGA